TGAATAGAAAAACATAATTTTTCTATCATCATCAAGTTTCATGGCATCATCAATCGGAAAAATCGGGCTTTAAGGACAGCTTTGAGTCTACGTAAACGGCCTACAGATAATAACTAATAAAAACCTATTTTAACGATACTTTTTAACTTCTCTATTGATCCTTTAATTCTACAGATTGAATTTGAATACCAACAACTGATTTTGATGCTAAAACAACGAAAAGAAATTTAAGATATATTATCATCGGTCAGAAAGGGTTATATTACATTATTAGAATTGAGATTGAACCTGTTTTGCTATCTCAGTTCCTACTACTATAGCTTAACGTACACTGAGAAGAAAGGGCTTGAAAATTTATTTGTGAAATATTAGATTTATTTCGCAGAAATAAACGTTTTAATAAATAAAATTTTATTTCTAGCAAATAAATCATTTACTAAAAAAAGTAAGGTATATCTCACAAAAAAAAATTATATATATTCCGTTAACACAGTCAATTTTTTTTTCTAACCAATAAATATCGAAGAAAATGTTACGGAAAACATTTACTTCGCAAAATTTCTTTTTCTCAGTATAGAGTTGAAATTTCGACTCGGGTGTTTGGATACGTCAAGCGGACGAAGCACGCGGAAGCATCTCAGCATCCTCTGAGTATCGAGGAATTCATATAGCCGGTGAAAGTGCGGAGGTATCATTCCACGCGTTTCGCCGAGATAATAGCGTGATATTGAAGCGGTAGCATGAAGGAAATCCATATTTCGCGAATCGTTCATCTCTTATTTCCACGTCTCATTGCCGCGATAATCGGCAAACTCGTTGGAGTCGTTACGGGGGAGAGACAAAACGCCGTTTTCACAACAAAGCGAGACGATCCTGAATTCCGCACTATCGTAATTAACTCGAAAGTTAGCACTCGCCTGGTTTTTGCATCGTGGAAACGAGTTCGCCAATTATTATCGGCCATTGATATCGCATGGACTCGCGAAACTACGCGCGCGCGCCTTCTCTCTCCGGCCTTACTTAATCCCGGCATAGATACAGCGTGCAGTATGCGCAATGGAATGCAGTCTCTCAAAGTGGGCTGCTCTTGGCTATCGGCGTGCATCGTGGAATCCGGCTACCTGGTGAAAGTACAACTACCTTGACGGCGCGCTCTACGTGCGCGCTCTCTCGAGCGAATGTTGCCTGTGTGTTGTTTCGCATGTGTGCGCGCTAATGTGTACATGTGTGAGGTGAGACGCTATCGGGATGAAGTGTCAACGCACTCTATTGTGTCACAGACGCGTGAGATAACGCGTTGTGTTACTGACCATTGCTTTGGCAGACGTCTATCTATTGCCGGTGCTTAGGCACTTTGATAATCTTCACACTTTCGACGACTCTTCATTTCGAATGAATAGCGCGGCTAACTTTGGAAGAAATCCGGATTAATCGTTCTTTTTCTTCTAATTTATATCCGTCTTTGGGCGCGCTTAGCCTACGACGTGCGTAGCCTAATTAACGATGCGCGATTATCTCTCGCAGCGTTCACTGCACGTACATGTGTACAGCGAATATATCCGTCAATTTATCGGCGTCTACTTGGTAGGAGGGCTCTCCCCCTCCTTCTCTCTTCAAAAATGCATACGCGCGCGTATCGACGCCCACTCGCACACACATCGCGCACTTATACGGCTGGCAAGGCGTAATCGGGTATAACTCCTCCGGATACTTTACACGACGCGCACCGCGGGCTGCCCATTACGCGCGGACTTATGCAACGAACTCGTTCGTATGTATGCACGATCCTTAGTTATCTCTACGCATTCCAGCCTGATAGACCGGCTCGATCGCCGAGAGCTCGCCGCTACCCTTTTCGCTACCCTCGAACGTCGCGAAAAATCCCCCCCCCCCCTTTGTTCGCTCCTCATCTTCCTGCAGAGAAAGAGAGTTTGAGATAATATATAAACAACATAATATCATTTTTGTTTGAATGAGGAGTTTCATTAAACCATGTTATTTGATAGAAAACATTTGTTTAGAGGAAATCATATCTCGCCTTCAATAATGAAAGCTCACTTCATTGTATATTAACCAGATAATAATATTTTTTAATTTAATATATAATAATATTTATAATTAAATAATAATATTTTAATATAATTAAATATAACAATAATATTTTATAATTAATATAATAATATAATAATATAATAATATTTTATAATTAAATATTTTTTCCACGAATAAGTTTCTTAAGATTTTTTTTTAACATGGTGTTATTTCTTTCAAATAACTTATTGCTTGTGACTGTTGTAACGAGATTTAGATGAAAAAGAAATATTTCACATAAGGATATTTATCGTATTGAGAAAACCAAACGTTTGTTAAATTCGTTTGTTTACTATTCCAAAAGGCACATTTGTTTCAATAAGAGAAAATCTTTTTTTCTGTGTCATTTAACAGACTTCGTTTCGCGCGACGTGATCTCGACGTGGACGCAATGTGAAATATATTTTCCTGGTGTAATTAAATTTATTTCAATTCGTCCAATCGCTTTTGGGAGAGGAGGGATCGCGACACTCTTCGAACGGGCTCTCGAGGAGGACGCGCGCGTCGATTCGGGCAATGCGATCATCTAGAACTCATCATCGTTTTGCCCCGTCGGTCCCGGTTTAGAGATTGGTTCGGCAAGCGGATTGGACGATACTTAAGCTCTCATCGCGCGAGAGAGCCGGCGAAACCGAACGAGCGGGCTCGCACGGGACGCGTAGCTCGGGAGCTCGCCATTATATTCGCATTATAATCCCATCAGAGGATTCCTTCGCTTAGCCGGACAGCTACGAAAATACGAAGCGCATGCCCGCCCTGCTTCGTTTTGACTTAGATGAAAAAAAAAATATCGATACCATGGAATCGCGCTTTTCAGCAGCGTCGAAAATTCCACGCCTAATTGTCCGCGGGCGGAATGATCACATCAGCTCCTCTGACACGTGGAATTCGCACAATCGTTTCCCTCGTTATTGCTTACCGCGTCGCGGCGTGGTGAAAGCCACCGACGACGATAACCTACTCTGATGCATGGCGTCGCAGCTGCTGGTAACCCTCGCGAAAAGTGGAATCCCAGTTACGCACTGACAAGCGAGCCGGAGCGCGTTGTTACGTGCGTACAAAGTCTCTCTCTCTCTCTCTCTCTCTCCCAGAGTAGCTGACCAAACTTCAGAGAGTCTCATATTCGTCGCGAAGAGGCACAAAAGAAGTCACCTAGACTCGCGAAACGATTTATTTTGCTGTGACTGCTTTTTATTTGGCGACAATTGTTCTTTTTCGCTAAACTGGCTGCACTAGTTCAAGAAGATTTACGCGCACTGAAGCGTGAGAATCTCCTACGTGCGCTTCATATGCTTCGGTGTGTGTGTGTAAATTTGTTGAAATATGTACGACCAGTTCAGATGAAAAGAACAGACCAAATGTTTAGCAAAAAAATTTGGCTTTCGTACCTACTATGATACTATTGTATGATCTCGGTGTGTCATACCGGTCTCTATTTTATCGCTCGCTTTTAATCGTAAGAAAACAGCTTTAAATTTGATAAGCATTTTCGCCAAATTTTCTTGTACAACAAATGATATCAATTGTGGTTACACACACACACACACACACACACACACACACACATATATATATGTATATATATCGTACATACCTGCGGTATACATGCGTCGGTTTACTTCCGTCGGACACATGCGGCACGCGGTCGAGGAGCGAAAGAGAGAGAAAGATGGAGAAATCTAGAAGAAGCAAGGATATGGAGGACGCGGAGGAAAGGTCGGAAGAACTGTAGGCTGAAGAGAGGAAGGTAAAGGGAGACGTTGGATGATTAGAGCGAGGAAAAAGCAGACGAGGAGAAGAGGAAGAGAACGATACGGACGACTCCCCGCGCAGCTGCTTCCAGTTTCGCCTTCCTTTTTCTTCCTCTCNCCCCCCCCCCCCCCCCCGTCTCTCTCATTCTCTGTCTGTCTTTCTCTTTTCCCTTCGCCATTGCTCGCTCTCTTTTTCTCACCCAGAGTTCCATCTCCTTCGACTCCTCCTCTCTCGCTTTCTATCTCGTTTCTTTTATATCGTTCTCGTTTACTCCTTCCCCTTCTCTTTGTCTCTCTCTCTTTCACTCACTCACTCTCCTCCTCCTCCCCCCCATGCTGCTTTCCCCCTGCTCGTCTCATTTTCTCTCTCACTTCCTCCTTCTGTACGGCCGATTCTTCGTATTATACCAGGTTGCGGCGTGGAATGCGGGCGTCCTTCGTCCGCTTCGAGCAGCGTCCAACCGATGAGCCCCGCTAGCGTTATCCTTCGCCGGTCCTTCGCATGCGCTCCTTAGGGCTCGGTAAAATTAACCTGAAATACTTGCTCGAGAAACGCCTGTCTCGCTCTTCTCTTCGCTCTCCTCGCTTTCGCAAAACCCGCTGATGCGCTCGACGCACTCTCTCGGATTTATCGCTAATGAAATTAGCGCGACTTATTTGAATACAGCGATGTCGAAACCGTGATTTTTTTTCTGTTCTTATGAAGATCACGATGATACACCGTAAGAGAAAAATGCGTAAACACATTGGGTGTCACAAATGCCTTGACGTGTGGTAAATACACTTCCCTGGGAGTGTCTAAAGCACCGCGAGACAAATAAGTCACCACTCACATTGAACAGATTTATAAGAAAGGTGCATTATTTTTTGCTTATTTTTTTGCGATTGTTTCTCTCGTAAAATCGCCTCGCGAGCAACAGTGGTGTCATCCGTATAACGTGGAATAGCGCGGCGTTATCTTCCGCACTATTATTTGTCCACGTCTTATAAACATATTTGGATCATCTCGCTTTTCTAGCGAAGCCAGAAATTGCTAGAAGAGGCAATTAGAATATGAATAAATTTTACGGTTCAAGACTTCTTTCTCGCGCGAATCATTAGATTACGACGCGTCATCAGTTTGGACGATTACAATCGATTTTTGTCTGTGTGTTGCAGGTGCGGCCGCAGGCGGGGGATTCAGGGGACGGGGGAATCTAGGTGAGTTTTCTTTTCCTCGATCGATCTTCTTGGCTCGAACGATTGCAGGCATCGCGCGTGTCCCGTTGTTTCCACCTAAGCTACTATCTTAGCGACGCGCCGGGAGAAAGATTTGTTTCGCGGCGAGGAATGCACGGCATTATAATGAGAACGCGGCGTTGCGACGTACCGCAACTCGGTAATTTCCTTTAATTGCCGGGAACGTTAGGCGAGTCACATCCGCAATCATACAGCTACGTCTCGCTGAAGATCCGAATAGAATTTTTCCTCCTTCCCTCTCTCTCTCTTAGATCGCGATCTTAATTGAAGAGCGGCGTCCGAGACGCGAAAATACAAACACGAAGTGGAAATAATATTCACGGCAAAGTGATGTAGCGTCGAGGCCCCGAGTACACGTTGCTCGCTCGAGTGACGCTTCGGGTTACTTCAGGTTTGGCCGCCAAAGAATTCGCTATTGAGACTAGCCGACCGTGTTGTATCGTGCGTGTATAATCGACTTGTTCCTCGATCGGCAGTTCGAATGTTGCCTCGACGTCTCGCAGAGACGCGCGAGGACATCGGTACACAGAGAGAGAGAGAGAGAGGGAGAGAGAAGAACGCGTTGGAAGTTGTGCGACGACGTTACTTTTACTTCGTATTGACTCGCGCTATAATCGCCAAACGTGATTACAGCGTGGATCGATCTTAATTTAAACCGAGCAATAAAAATGACCGATGCATTCCTGCCCGCAACGAGAGCCGCGCGAAACCGGTAGCCATTTCGTTCACGGCGGCGAACGACGTCATTATTTTCTCATTCCCGTTGTTCGTCCGAGTGCGCGCGCCTTTCTTCTTCTTCTTTCTCCTCGTCTCTCTTTTCTTCCTTCCTCCTCCTCGTCGAGCGTGTTTCTAATCCACACCGAAGCGCATACTTACGACGGTTCATGGCTACACGACGAAAGAAGAAGAAAACGCGACTGAAAGGAAGCTGGAAAAAAATGGAATACACTCTTTATGAGCTGCAGTCCGCGAGCGGAAATTTCTCGCTTTATTGCGGAAAGTGCCGATTTACAAGCGCGCACTCCTATCAGCGAATATAGCGAGGAGGAATGAGGAAAAAAACAAATAATCCGGCTTCCACGGGAGATCATGGAAGCTGCAAACGCTTCGCCCGCATACACGGGACGTCTCGGAGAGAACTGTCGTTATATTTCTGCGTTCCTTCTACGAATTCCTTCCTGCGTTCCTCCTACATTCCTTCCACGGATTCTTTTGATCGGTTGAATCTTCTCTCCCTAACGGAAGTCTCGCGTACTGCCTTTTCTACGAATTGTTCACTCTGGACGGTTTTTCAGCTTTGCTGATATATCTTTGCGAATTAATATTCGTCAGAATAACGAGCGATAGCTCGCGGTGCGAACGTATTTTACTTCTACTTTAAGTGTTCAACGGTATTCTTTTCTGCTCCTTTGATGCTACAAAAGTGTTGTCGTTTTCTTCACTCGAAGTAGACTCAATGTAGACCTGAAATTTGGAGCATTAAAGGAGCACTTATTGCGCTTCCTTCATACTATGCCCGAAGTTCTACGTTAAGTCTTCAAGTGGAGAAAACAGAAATGACTTGTAGCATCAAAGGGGCACTAAATTAGACTGAAATTAAAATTTCGGGTCAATTGGGAATTTATTTCCCCTACTTGAAGATTTATTGTAGAATTTAAAATTTCGACTCGGATGTGCACGAACAGCACAACAGATTGAAGATTTTTGACATTCCATCGAGGAATCCGAGGTCAGCTTGACCCAAAAAGGGAAATTTCGTTGTGCCTCCGCCGGCGAAACGTAACGAAACTCGCGGACAGATTTCCAGGGAGATTTCCGTCGCGCGCATAGATGAGTTTTCGGTTATTTCGGCTACGGTTATTTCCTTACGTAAGACCTGTATGACGCGGGTCGTTGCTTGCGCCCGCTCTGTATGTCACCGTATGGCGCGCGCGCGCGCACACGCACGCACACAGACAGGGGACACCAGTCCGACGGCATTCCATCGTGATTTGCGAACGTTTCGGTAAACGTGTACAGCGCGCCCGTGGTGTTTACGTCTGTACGTCGTGCTGGTATTCCGCCGCACGACTCACGCTGTATGAAAATCGATTCTAGGAAGACCGAAATTAGAGGAAGATTCACGGCGCGTTGCTTAAGCGAATTCTTCGATTTTTACGAACAAAATTGTTCCCGAATAACGCACTATCGCGTCACGCTCAACGCGTCGCGAAATTAAGCTCGCTTGGTCGTCACGCACGTTAAAATTCGCGTTAATACACCGGATGTTGTCCTTCCTCGATGTCCGTCCGAACGCGCGGATAAGTGCGTGAGTAAACGCTCAACGCGCATTCTTGCGATGACACGAGCTTCATCGAGTGCGGTCGTGCTACAAAATTCATCGGTTCGTCTTTTCTGCACTCGTCCCGCCGACGATCGTACTCAGTAAAACAGGATCGATCTCGGCCGGATCTTCCTTAAAAATCCATCTTGCGAGCCAACTGGCCGCCCATCCGGCGACCACGGCGACGAGGAATCCCAGTGGGCAGTACCACATGTAGGAGATACGATAAAGGTAGAAGTAGTTTCCCTGTATCCTGCAATCGCGATATTTATTTAGAATGCAAAATCCCGAAATTTTAGATTCTACAATTCAATCTTTAAATCGGAAAAATAATTTGTAGCATCAGAAGAGCACGATAAATGTTCCTTTAAAGTTGCAAAGAGAATTTAGTCCTCCAGAGTCAACGATTTTAGTTGTACCAATTAAGTCTTCAACCTTCTAGAAAACTTCCCCATTTGTAGCAGCAAAAGCGCACAATATTTAATGTAGAACTATTAAATGTGGATTTAAAATGGGACTAAAATTTCGGAACGAACAAAGAAGCCTACACAGCAGATCCCGAGTTGAAATCTTAGTTGTACAAGTTTTACATCAAAGATCCTTCATCATTTGATACTACAAAGTTATTTTTTTCAAGATTTAACGTAAATAGCTGCTTAATAAGGAAAACTCCGAACTTGCTCACCGGCTGTCGTAGGGCGGGCTCGCATGAATCGACGATTCGGCGTCGTTTCCGTGATACGTAATAACGGTGTCGTTGCAGCCGTCGGTCGAAACGCCCAGCCGCGGGATCGGCGGTTTTGGCTGGCCGAATCCGATCCACGAGGAAAACGCGAGGCTGAGAACGAAGCCCGCGATCGCGCCCTTCTGGTTGCTCGACGGGACGAACATGCCGAGCGTGTATAATCCCAACATCGGTCCACCGACGACACCGAATATCGTCAGGGCCGCCTGCGCGGAGAAAGAGAAAATTTGTGTACGATCCAGCGTACACAAGTGAAAAATATAATCCAATACCTGCAAAAGCCCGCCGAGAAATCGTGCCAGGAAAGCAACCATCAGACACGTGAGCCCGACCGCAAGAGCCAGAACCTTGCTCAATATTATGGACATTCTCGCGGATAACTCCTTTCCCCTGCAATCGACATTATTCCTTCTTCATCTCGTTGAATACATAATAATCTTAACGTGTACGGATTATTCGACACACACGTATATATTTCTACTTGACGTTAACGCATCATTATCATTCGGTTACGACGCGAGCGATCGATTACCAGGCGAGTATTCCGATATACATATCACACGCGAAAGAATTCGGGCTGCCTTGAAACCGGATTGTTTTCCGGGACGACTCTCTTACACGCATTTTTACGCGCTTTTACGACTACTCCTACCTTACACGCCAGAGAGGCTTGATATAATCTTCGAGGATAACAGCGGCGAGGGAATTAACCGTGGCCGAGATGGTGCTGAGTCCGGCACTGAAGATTCCGGCTACGAAGAGCCCGGGCACACCGGGATAGCCCGACAGCGTGTCCATCACGTACAACGGCATCAATTGATCGTTCGAGCTGATCCTGCCCGCCTCGAGCGGATCGCAGCTACGATATTTCGAGTATATCGCCAAGCCGGAGAAGCACAGGGTGAGCGACATGATCGACGCCATCGGCCAGCTCCACCATAGCGCGCGTTGGCCGGCTTTCAGATTTCTAGTAGAAATCGGCGGTTGAAATCGCCAATCGATCGACAACTTTGCGAAAAATATGGCGTAAACGCGCGCTATAATAATGATTGATCGGAAATTAGTCCGCTTTACCTGACGGTCAGCATTCTCTGAATCTGAACTTGATTAACGCCATATAAGGAGAGGTAAGTGAAGAAACCACCGAATGTCAGACTCCACCAGGTGTGCCGTACAGTTGGATCCGGAGAGATGCTGCGAACACATGTAAAAAGTTGAGCCAACCGAGTGTCATTTTTACGTTCGTTGACAGCTTCATTTCGTCGTAAGATCGCGCGGAGAGAAAGGGAGAATGTTCCTTCTGTCTTTTCTACCGAGAATCCGAGGATCTATTTTGCAGCGCGACACGGGTGTCCACGTCAATGTCCTTCGAGTTATTTCTCGTGGCATTTTTTTCTCACTGAATTTAATTTGCCTATTCATCTCTTGGAATTATTTTCACTTTCTACGAGAGAGAGAGAGAGAGAGAGAGAGGCGGCGTTTCTCTTTTTTTTGCTGTGATTACTTGTCGAATTCTAGTCGGGATCCCTCGCGAGCGATCTGCCAGATCCGATCGAGGCCGCCGGTGTTGACCGCCGCGGTGGCAATCACTGCGACAACGGCGACCAACATCAGCAGACTTTGCAATACGTCGGTGACGAGGACCGCTTTAATGCCGCCGATCGCTGAGTAGAAGGTGCACACGATCCCTATGCCGATCACGCTCGCGCTCGACGAGATGCCCGTAGTGGCTTCCAGGGCTAACGCGGGCGCGTACAGCACCACGCCGGTGTAGAGAAGCAGTTGCAGCAGAAAGGCGAAGCTGGCTGTTAATCTGGCGGCGGTGCCGAAGCGTTTCTCCAGATACTGCAAAATGCGTTTATCGGTTTATCGGTTTATCGACTTTCATCGAGCGAGTAATGATTTTCTTCACCTCGAAGGCGCTCGTGGCGTTGAGCTTATAAAACACCGGCAGGTAGAAATAGGCTGCGAACGGCGTGGCGAGGCCATAGGAGACATTGATCACGGCGTATTGCGTGCCGTAAACGTAATTCTCCGAGCTTACTCCGAGTAGACTGACCGCTGATAAATACGAGACCATCAAACCTATCGCTACCGGCATCACTCGCATCGATTTGTTCGCCACGAAGTACTCCTGAAAGGAAAGTGATATTCGCGCGCGCGCCTTCTTTCGACTGAGGAGGGCGCACAGAAAAAAGAAAAAAAAACAGTATGAAAAGTGTCGATTATTCTCCGACCGTAAAGAGAGTATTTTTAGTGGGACTATATACCATTCTCTCATATATAAGCAAACTTTATCTTCATATAAGATTATATTCTTACATTTTTCTTATATTCTTACTTATATATAAGGATTTGATTTTTTTTTTCTTTGGGAAAGGAAGATAAATCGAAAAATTGGCCGGGAAAAACGCGCGCTGGCGTTGATTTACTTGAATACTCTCATACCTCGGTCGACTTTTGTCGATCACCGGTGAGCCAGTAGTATATACCAATGCCGGAACTGATGATCATCAATACACCAATCACCATGTAATCTGCCACGACCAACGTTGCCATAATGGAATGAAATTCCGATACGTTACTGATCTATTCCCTTATCTCTGTCGTCTCACAAGCTCACGTTACCGAATAGTTTACGGTATATCACGTTTTTTAACGCATCCTCAACATGCCCGCGCGTTCATCGTTTGAAACAGTTTTGCGCGTCGTTCGTCTTCCTCCGCTGTTGATTTCCTCGCGGCTTCTACTCAAGTAGCAAACACATTTCATCATTCGCACGTTCACGTGGAACTCGGCTGGTTTCCCCCGTCGAATATCACGTGTATTGCTTATCAGCAAATATTCCCTTATCACTCGCCGTTTATATGCTCAAGATGAAATGCTTGTAATCTCAAGTGCAATTTAATCTTACGCGTATTGGTGCCACGCTAATGCTTTTATCAATCGTATCGAAAATATTTCTATTCGAATTTCACAATTGAACGTTATTTTCAATGGCGGTATTTAATTTATATATAATTTCTAATAACGATAATATACACGGAAAAAATAACTCCGTTAGCGTAACTGAATTTTTCGTTGTCTGAGGACCGGACGAAAATTCGCTTGTAGAAAGATTCTTGTAGGAAGTTTCTACTCAGTTAAAGGGCTACGAGAGGCACGAAGAAATGTTTGAATTTTTCTGCTGTCCACGTTATTGCGACTAACTACGAAGATGTCCTTTTGAGAGATCCTTCAAATTTTTATTTATATGTTACATAAAACCCATTACAAAAAGTTGATACTTCCGTGAAGCTCGCTAATCGGTACCCAAAATATCTCGGTAACTATCGTACCGATTTAGCTAATAATTTTGCATAGCTGTAATTTTTAATTAAATTATCTGTATTTTTTTATAGTTCTCTCTCTTTTTTTCTTTTTAAGAAAAACTTTGAATGTTAATATCAAAAGTTAACATTTTTTTTAAATCGTCTACGGGAGCAATAATAACAAGCAGTAATAACAGCGTTATATATATCAACTTTTTGCAATGGGTACATCTTCATAAAGCCAATAATGTAGTTAGCAGAAGAAAATTCAAGCCTTTTTCGAGCTGCTGGGACATACGTAGCTCCTAAATTGTTCTCAGTTGTCCCAATCGAATACAGCTGAATGTTTACAGGAATGTTCTCGATCGCGATGACACACAGGTATCTTGTCTCACAGAGAGTTTTCATCTTATTCAGTTGCAGAAACTGAAATGTTTTTTTTCCGAACGGGTGGGGACGCATGGAATCTTTCCTAAGTGACGTTACTTGACGCGACAACGACCGTCGAGTGAATTTGGCGGCAAACACCGCTTAATCGTGCTGTTCAGATGTTGTATCATTGATAAATGGAAGGCAGCGCTTCGCAGTGATATCGCGGCGCCAAAAATGTTGGACGTCGCAAGGTCGAGGTGAGATGAGGCGAAGCGCGAGCGGCTCCTACGTGCGATTTTCCTTCGCGGCGCGACCGGGTGCACGGGGTCGGTGATCGCGCGGAGAATGCTGCGGGGACGCGCAGGTTGAACGCCTGCGAAATGCATCGGCCATCGGGGCTCCGCGAGACCGAAGAAGGAGCGAGAACGAGGGAGCCGAAAGGAGAGATAGAAGGAGCGAGAAAAAGAGAGAAAGGGAGGGGGGAGAGACGGAGGAGACCGGCTTTTATAATGGCGCGGCAGTTATACCGGTAAGCGAGTAAATGCATCAACGTGTTGCGGAGAGAAGCGTCCGGGAGAGGGAGAAAGAGAGAAATAGGCAACCGCTCGTTCACGAGCGCGCGTACGAGAGATCGGGAGGATGAGTGAGGGTAGGAGACGGCGGGGTCAAGGAGGAGGCAGCCCTTGTTCGGGGTGTGGGCGGATTGCACGCGTCTCCTGGTAATGGATCCCATCGATCATCCCTCCGCGGATAAGATGGTCTNAGATGGTCTCTCCTCCTTTCTCCCCCCCCCCCCCCTTCTCTTTCGTCCATTAGTCAATTCTGTCGATTACGACTTGACAATCCAAAATAATCCGCTCGAGGAGCAAATTACGCCGTTCGCCCTGTGCGTCCGCGACGTCGAAACAACGACGTTGTCGTTCCAGACAATCCTCTTGCACTCTCTAGGGAGAGAGACACGAACGACTGTTCGCCTCCTAGCAAAAACCGATTTGAACAATGTCCCCGAAATTTCAACATTAAGTCCTTTAATACTACAAACGGCGGAGATATTTCCGTTCTCTCGAAGATTTAACGTAGAACTTTCCCCCCTGGAGGTCCCAGCACCAAAGGAGGAAATTATTAGTGCTTCTTTGATGCTACAAATGGGAGGTTGCTTGCTTCACTTGTGAAAATTTAACGTAGAACCAAGTAGAATCGAACGTCCATCCAGGTTTGATAAAGCTCGCTCAGATATTGTCAGAATAAAGATCGAAATTACGATCGATTCGTCGAATTCTAATTCGCCATCTTTCACTCCTGATACCTAGTTTGATAAGTCAAATTCTCCGATCCATATGAGAATCTCGATTTCGAGCGAAAGTAACGTTTCACCACTGAAGGATCACGACGAATCATGATCTCTTGTTGTTCACAGTGAGGACGCTGGACGTAGCGGCGACGAAATGAAGCATGCAGCATGCGTGGTAGCGGTGTCACGGCTGCGCGGTCTTGCCTTCAACCCCTGGTGTCCGCCAGCCGCTATCTCGCCGTACACGCCCTCCCCGGTGATCCTCTCTACTTCGTCGTCGAGGTGAGACGAATGTCGACGAAAAGTTCGCTACCAAACGATTACCGCGTCATTCCGATTTACATCTCATGCGAATTGAAAATTTTTTAAATGAGAAACAAGAATGAGATAAATCTGCCGCGTTCGAGGTAAACAACGCATGAAATCGTTACATAGACGGAGGCGTCAATGTCAAGGTTCGGTCGATTCATTAGACCGGCAACGTAGCGTGTCTTCTCACACGATACCATCTTCCTAATTGTAGCGAGACTCGTTTGTAGCGACGAATCTCCGGACCTGCGTGGAAATTCCTCGTTCTGCCTCCGTGAGCCTGATACTTCTTTCCGCTGTTCGATCTTAACACGCGCTCGTCTTCGCTAGCTGGAGGTTTCGCTCGTGATACACATCGATAGTAACGTTGCACGGAAAGAACAATTCCAATTGGTGTAACTGAATTTCCCTGGGGAAAATTCGGTTGTAGGAAAAATTCCTCCTGCGGGAGACTTCTACTCAGCCAATTGTTGTCTCAACTGAGAACGCGGCAAAATGTTCTCACACGAATGTCCTCACCTCGCGGTAACAGAGATATCACTCGTTGTCGTTGAGTTTCTATTTCTTGTCACCGAGTTTTTATTTGATCCCAATAGATATTGAATAGAAGAAAATTGACATAAGAATATTTCAGCTCTTTGTTTCTTTTAATTTGTTCGAATTTATCCAATTCTCGCGATCGCGGTTGCGAAAAGCGATCGGCGTGATTGCAGGCACGATAATCGCCTCGTAAGCACCGTATAATTATGGAAAAGCTTGCTCGTTCGCAGCCATTGTGTTCCCTTTCCGCCTTTCCACCCGTAGCAGGCGAGCAGTGAACGGCGAGTGGAAAAGAGGGGAAAAAAGTGTGAGCGACACCCACACGAACCCACGTATATTCAAATCGGTCTTTGCTCCTTTCCTTCCTTTCTTCCCTCTTTTTTCTCTTTCCTCTTTCTATCAACCTCCTACCTACCTTTCTTTTTTTCCTTCCTTCCTTCCTTCCTTCCTTCCTACCGTATCGTGACTTTTCCGAGAATAACGAAGGCACGCTGTGTCTCGACGAGATGACACATATTATTTGGCAAATTGCCACTTTCCGAAATTCTACAACTTTTACTTATAATCATTGCGAAATAATATTGCTCTACGGACAAACAAGTAATTGTAAAATTATTTGCAAAATTATTCGAAATTTCGGCGCTCATCAGAGTTCGCTTTTTCAGGCAAAGTCGAGAGTGAAGGAGGTTTACACGCAGACATGCATGCTTCTCAACCAACAGGGCATGCGAGATTGCGAACTTTTCGGCCTGGCAATATTGTCCGGTGAGTAAACACTTTTTTCATATTCTTGTAATATTCGAGTCGAGTTTGTTGCGGGACGTTCTTTCGTGATGATGATGATGAGATATAATATCTAGAATGTACATTAGAGATATAGGTGTGTGATCGAAGATTTCATACACTGAGAAACTCATTTAATTGACAAAATTCTTGTTTGGATGAACAAATGTTATGAAAATTGCTTCTCTGAACAAAAAGTCTGATCCTCTTCATTTTCGTTTCACTTACGTTTACGCTTTCATTTTCGTTTCACAGAACCAAACTTTGGTTTTTAACGATCAAAACATTTGTTCATCCAAACGAGAATTTTGTTTGAGCCGATCAAGTGTGTTTCCTGATGTGTTCAAAGATTTCGCGATTGACGAGAGAATTTTCACAGTTTATTTGTAAATGGTAATCAATAGTTGGTTAATATTAGTAAAGAATGAGAAGAGTGCGCATTCCCCGATAGTCTCTTCTAGTCTTCATAGAATCAAGATGCGAAGGTCGTAACCTTCCCAAGCTTGGAAAAATGCGACACCACTATCTGAAATTCGGTTGCCTCCTCGATGGAAAAGGGAGAAATCACGTAAACATCAAGCTAGCGAGACGTCCGGACCTCTTGACTAATCGTCAGGTCTTTCTGCATACCGCACGTTCATCGCTACCCTCGCACACACCACCGATCGCGACAAGCCGGTCCGACTGGTGGCCCCCACCACGAGCGAAGGAGCTTCCCGGACCCTCGAAGGGCCCCACGGGACCCCATCCCAACCGGGTCCCTTCTACATTCCAGCGGCGGAGCCCCATCACTGGGCTCGGTTGGCGGGTTTTGAGACGCACGGCACGACAGGAAAAAATGCGCCCGGAGAACAAGTAGAAAAAGAGAGACGACTCGCGAATCGCGACTTTTCTTCGCTCGCGACCTCAACGACGTATGCTTTTTCCCTCCGCCTCTTTTAACGAGCTTTAAATCTCTTCTTCTTCCGGAAGACGACCTTTCTTCTTTACTACTTCAGCTCACTCTCTTCTCGTCACTTTTAATCATCCTTGTCAAGATATATATATATATATAGTGAGACGATCGCTTATTATTACATTTTGCAAACATATTGTGCGTGATGTATAATAATTTCGGTAGTAAGGTGGAATTTTTCACTTTCGATTTTCGAAGCCCTTTTCTGTAGCGTGAGCTCAAGGTCGTCCGTGATGCGAGTGTGCCGTGACAGCTCGTCTAATAATTACGTGGAACACGTTTTTCTACCATGAATACGTCACTGTGAAGTCACTCAATCTATTTCCAATTGAAACGGGCCAAAAGTTACCGCTTTCCAGCCTGAAATGAGATTTACATATTTATAAGCGGATGAAGAGAACGAACACCGTCACGGACACCGTCGTTCGTCTTCATTACAGCGTTGTCAATTCGATTTGAATCGATTCCTATGTTTATTAGTCCGAGCGCACATCTTCTCAATTAAACATTTGAAACAATCTATCTGTAGATGACTGTATGAAATCTTTACCCGGATATTTCGACATTTATCTGCGACCTCGTCGTGTTAATAAGATTTTATCTCCTATAAAACAATGATTAAATTACAAGTAAATTACGGATGCCAATTGTAAGAAACGTCCGCTAACGTACAGTAGCTGCCAACAATGAGAGACTAAGCAAGCGGAACGTAGGTGAGCGAGAAAAAGAAGGGTCGATATTACGCGCGTAGTCGCGCGGGAAAAGACGAGGACGAATACCAGGACCAAAAAAGTATCAGCGTGGATACGAGAGAGAGAGAGAGAGAGAATGCGATAAATGAGAGAGATAATAGACTGCCATAAGACGGAGAAGAATAACGAGTGCTGGAGAAAAGAGAGAGGGCCCAGTCCTGGAATAGAGGGAGAAAAGCGGACGGAAAGGAGACGCAGAAAGAAAGAGATCGGGGTCCGGGTAAGACGGTAGCCCGGTGATTTGTATAGGGCCTCTCGTATTCCACCTCCCCGGTCGAGCGTCTTCACCGGCGCGACGCGGCGGCTCCGAACACAGGAATGTGGAAGGAGGGCGCCGAGGACAGGAATCGTCGGCGCACGACGCGGCGGGTGAAGAGGGAGAAGGCCCGACCAGGGCCGCGTTCAGGTACGAAGGACGAAGTGGGAGGGTGGGAGGTGGGCAGATAGCGGAGAATGGGTACGGGGGATACATATCGTGGCGAAGCTGAACCTGCGTCACAACAGGGTCCCGACGTCCTTCCCGCTCTCTCCTCTCCTCCCACCGCTCCGTATGCGACGGTCCTTCTTCGCATCGCGAAGCTTCGCCACTACGCACCTTTTGCGCTACTTGGCGGCCGTCGACAAAGCCCTTCGCTCTTTTTACAGATGAAAACTGCTTTCCTTTTCTTTTATCGCTCGCCTTCTTCTCCCTCTGCTTTCTTTTATTTCCGCCCTATTTATTCCGCTACATCGCGGTTATATCGATCAACCTGGAATGAAATGAAATTTCTTGGTCGGAAAGTATCTTCCTCTCTTTTCTTCTTTTCTTTCGTTTTCACTTTTCCTCTCTTTTTCGCCTTTTTTTCTTTACCCTCCTACAACACCTTTGCCTTCTGCTTTATCTCTTCCTTCTCCTTTCTTTTTTCTCTCATCCTCTTCCTCACCGCTCTCCTCTCTCTCTTCATCTTTCTGTGTAGATTGTTACAATACGTGTCCACGAAGCAAGAAACTTCTCTTGAATGGGTCATTCATAATATGTATTAAAACACTATGGTTTATGTTGGACGATCGTTATTATTATAGTACATTTTGCTTTTTTCTTCATTTATGCAGGATGTCCCTGGTAAATATTGCGAAATTTGATTTGCTTTCTACCAGCGTTTTGCCTTTAATTGTCGGACACCTTATATTATGTTGTAAGTTGAATTGGGTAAATCAGCCAATAATGGCACTCAATGTGAAAAGGGGGCATCGATGAAATTTCTCGAATGTTTTCCGCTTTAAAGTATTCGGTATAAAGAGGGTCGAGAAATTAAGACAACTATCGTGGACTTTTCTCGGCGAGCACCCACGTACCGCAGATCTATCGGGATGACGATTACTAACCGCAGGAGACGTGATGGGACGGCGCGACTAATGCGGAATGCCACCGGCACAATTGTGCTGTTGTCCCGGACCACCTTTCTACGATCTTTGTCCAAAACACGGTTCCGTCGGATGTGCTGAACTAGAAAGAAAGAAGCCAATATTGGATTTCCGAAAATTTCCATAAAAATGTGTTCTCACAATGAATAGGAAATACAATAGGAGGAGGCGTCCAACCCCTAGAAAGTAGTGGCGGGGATTCTCCGTTATTTTTCTTTGATTATGTCAGAATATTTCCCTCGTCTTCTCAGTTTTATCCGAAAGATGAAAGATTCATCGTTCCCTGCCAAACTGTCACAATTGCTGACCTGAGAAACACCCTGAGAAACAATGAATTCGACTGTTATGTAACGAATCAGTCGACTCGTTATATCGCGCGTTCGTGCCCTGTTAATATTTATCGTCATTTCTTCCTTTTATCCCCTTTCCTTTTTATATAATTACGAGAGGAGGTTCTCTAAACCGAGGCATGTCCGCGAGATTCCTCGAAAGGGGCCCCCGATCTTCCTCGGGGTACCTCGCGTTCGCTCGGACAGCCAGCGAGAGTGCGAAGGTAGAAGAGCAGGATCCCCTCTCGGCAATCAAGGGTGATTACGGCTGTAATTATGGTTACGGCGCATTGCTGCGTCACGCCGAGACAGAGAGCAAGGGGGAGTATTGTTTCCTTCTGGGAAAGCAGTGGGTTTACGAGAGAGAATCGTTCTTCCTCGTCGAATTCTTCTCGTCGCAACGCTACCTCCGATCCGCTCTCTGCAAAATGTGATGGCTTCTACATTTATTTATTTTTTACACTGCTCACTCCCTTTCCCCTCTGAGAGACCATTTGTAATCTTCATAATACAAACAACAACTGAAAACAAATTACGCGGATGGTCGAAAGGATGTTAAAATATCGACTGGAAAACAAAGACGAGAGATTTGATTGGCAAACTTTAATCCGGAAGTACAGAATGTACCTATAGTCGAATAAACATTTGCGGATGTTCGATGAGGAATGAAACGTAAGAGATAAACAGGATGCGAGAGGCAGCGATCATGCGAGATGAAGAAAAAGGAGAGATCGCTCCGTCCGCGAGGTATCTCCGAAGGAATACGATGGGCCCTATGGGGCCCCGATGGATGGTTACGCGAGGGTTAGCCCTCGGGCAACATTCCCCGGTAATGGTCGGGTTATATCTCGGGTAACACAGGTGCTCCTCGCCGCGGAGAGAGAGTGAGCGCATCGAAAGAGGAACACCGGACCGTCTTAAGCCCATTTTAGACGATTTGCGATGGAACTCGAGAATCCGCGCGTAATTCGATACTAACCGTAGAGAAATATTTGGAGAGAGAGAGAGAGAGAGAGAGAGAAAGGAATTCATCTTTCGACGTCGGTTATTGGAACATAAAAGTATTACTCTTCTCCTTTGCGACGCTTAGCAACACTCTTCGATTGTTTCTTCGAATAATATACGATGTAAGAAACGTGTTATGGGCTAAATCTAACGAGGTGTTAATCCGCGACTCTTTTGTCTCGAAAAAGTAATGTTCTCCCGTGCGCGCGCGCAAAAGAGAGCCGGCACCCTGTCTGCGGTGGCTGAACGAACTAGTGATGGCCTCGAGGACCCGTTCGAGGATTCAAACCGAATTCCAGTTTGGAAATCGCGTTATCGTGCGTAAGGGCCGCTCGAAGGACAGCCCTCTCTCATTCACCAACGTCTCCTCGCCGACGAGCTCTTTCATTGTTTCGCTCGTTTAAGGGAGTATCGGCATTTCGGCCGTGTAAAAAGTCGCGCGAGGAGAATGAGCGGCTTCGTGGAAGAACCATATCGGGACAACCATGTGCGCCTTGTACGTTTGGTCGGCCCTATGCGGCCGTAAGGACACATACGCCCGTCCAGCATTTGAAATATTTGCACGGAGAGAAGAAAGATTGATTGAATTAACGTGATAATGAACGTTTTGGTTGACAGACTTTCTAGTTTTAATGAAACAAATTTGGTTTCACGCATTTGATTTGTTCATTGTCATGTTGAAACAATCTTGTTCTCCGTGTGTAATGCTGGACAGCAAAGTTGCAGCACTTTTTTTTTTAACTGTTTTTTTTTTTTTAATGTTTCGTAACACATCCCGTGTTCAGTAGGTTTTTTATTAGTTATTCTCAGAAGATACATTTCTCTATTGGATACGAGATGCGTTGTGAAGCTCATTGGGAAAAAGTGTCGCAATCTTTCCGTAAATATCGTTCATAGATAATTTCGCCGTGATAAATTCGCGTGAAAATAAGCCCGTCACATTTATTGTTTCAGACGGCGAGTACCTTTTCGTGGATCCCGAGAATAAGCTGAGCAAGTACGCTCCGAAAAATTGGCGAAACTCTCATACATACGTGAGTAATTACTTATTCATATCGCACGTACCGTTCGCAATTAATTCTTGACTCTTCGTACCTGTTGTTAACGGATTCGGAGGTCTTTCATCGCGGTAGCGACATGAGCAGGCCGATTGAACAATGCCAACGAATGGAGACGAGAAAATGATGATTATTTGTGCGAACGAAACGCGAAAGCAGCGAGAAGGAGAGAAGAGCGCGTAGTCCTCGAATTAACTTTTTCATCCCGCGGCTTCACGACGGCGACCATACGTTTTGCCTCGAGGGTAGTGTTGAGCAAAGCAGTACTCTCTCTCTCTCTCTCTCTCTGGAGGCGAACAGCCCCGTAATATAGCCCAACTCGTCGTCGAATAAAAGAGAGGAAAGTATTTGGAGAGGGGGAAAGAGAGAGAGGGGAGGAACACCTCGCGCGATATCTCGGAATCGGCTCTCATAGTGGTTGGAGCCCCGTTTGGCTAATGACGGCCCGCGCACCAATAACCAATAAATACTCGCCCGATAGAGCCGGGCTACTGCATTACGTGCTTATCTCCGATGAACATCGGCCGCGAGGATTTCCTGCGAGCGCCTGTAGGTTCTTCTCTCCTCACCGTTACGCCGACTCCTTCTCTCCTTGTCCCCTCGTCGTTTTCTCTATTATTATTGATTTGCTGTAAACGTCATTGATTCGCGAATTCTCTATATTTCTCCTGCTTTGTCAATGCGCCTGTGCGGTAGGTAGGCAGTCAGTGGACAACATGTGGCGGCGAACGAACTTGCGGCTCTGTACTAATTATAGTCCACGATTCTTATCTTTAATAATTTGTCGAGAGTTTTCGATCGATTCTTTGCTATTGATTCACATATTTCATATATTTTCGAGACGAATCTTGCATATCGTACACACAGAAAAATATATAGTGCATTCAAGTAAATATTATTTCAAGTATTACATAAGTTTATGTATCCACAAGTATATTCATCATAAGTATCACAAATTTATTCCAAATATATCCTAGTAAGTTTAGTACTTCAATCAAAAGTATTAGATTGAAACAAACTTCGGTTTATTCAAGTTAGCCGAATTTTTCTTCCAAGTTTATAATATTCTCGAAAAGAGAATATAAATTTTTCTCTCGGGTACATGATAATGAGCCTTTCTAAACTTTGCGATATTTTAAGACTGTGATCAGGGAGAAAGAAATATTCTTTGTTGAAGATAACCATTATTTAAAAGAAGGAAAGTAAACTGAGCAATCGCTTTTCTTAACTTAAGTATATTTTTCAGTATTTTAACGGTATATTTTTATAGTAATGATATTTTCTTTTGTGTTTCCTTATACTTGATCATGTAACAAATGATTCGCATGGTCTCTTAATTTTAGCGATGATTATATCTATCGGAGAGAAAGAAAATCGAGGAAATAAAAGTAGCGGGAGAAAGATTCGCGCGGGGAGATGGGAGAGAGACGGTGAATTAATATTTATGGTTCGTAAAATATGCGGATGGAGCCAACGGTGTAATTTGCTAGAATTTGACCGGAGGGTCTAGACGCGACGGCCTTACCGGTTTAATTTTCAGCTACCGAATGGGCTTCGTTATTGGTACCTGTCCTAGCCTTTTCCTCGGGGTTCGCATCTTTTCTGTTAGATGATGTATCGAACACATTGTAAGGGTCGTTATTGTTGTAACGGCTATGTGTGTGTGTGTGTGCAGCTTCTGATCTGTGTTAATGAAACTCCCGAGATCACCTTGCTCACTTATCCTGAAGCGATGAGAGTCCTCACATTAAAGATTCGTAAATATTGGAATAGATACTGTATTATAAAATTTTTATCACAAATTTCCTTCAACCGTGTGTTTACTGGTAAATTCAACCAGATTTCATATTTCGCAATGAATCTTCCTCGTGAATTTAGATGTAACGTGAATTACGTATCTCCTGGAAGAGAACTCAAGTGCCAACCGTTCACCTGTCAAAGCAATCGATTGTCGTAGCAATGTGTACGATAAACACGTGTATTATTACTGGCGCTCCTCCTCCTCCTCTAACATATTCGTCTACTCTTACCATTGTTCTAATACCATTGTTAAAATTGTTAGAATTGTAACAACTTGCATCTATCCGATCATTGCGACGCGCTATGTACGATTACTTTGCAGGGTTTAGACAGCAGTGGGAGGCCAGCTTTTGTACTCTACTTTCGAGTTCGTTACTACGTCGACACACCGTTACTCTTGAGGTAAGGAAACACCGATCGCGCATATTCTTTCTCGCGATTCTCGATCGAAACGTAGTCACAGGGCGGAAGGAGAAGCCGATGAAGAAAAAGCAGAAGAAGGGAGCGTAGAGACGCGGAAAAAGAGGGGGGGGGGGAATGCAAAGTCGGAGGGCGCGTCCCTCGCGAAATCCAGACTCCCGTCCGGTAGCTAAGTGCTACCTATTCTTGTAATTATAAATTATTACGTGGCGCGTGATAGATAGACCGTGCGCATTAAACGAAAGCACTCCGGGGCCCTGCCGTCGGTAATTATACCGATCCGCAGTCGGTTTCTGATTTCCACTCGAAACCCGTGATTTACATCGGACTTGGCGATTCACCGCACGTTCGCGTCGACGAGGGTTTAATTCTCGAGGGGACCGAAAGGCCCCGGGCCGCTGCTGATGCTTCCGAGTTCGGTTAATGACGACGTTCGCCGGTTTTCGCTCCGGCGATTTAACCGATCTCTTGACATCCTGTCGTCCGCGTCGAGAGATCGCGTTCGATAGTGAGATCTTTCAAATGATTCGGCCTCCTTGAACGGGTAAAAATTCAACCGAGGATACCGCTTCTCGGAATCAGAACTGAATTTGACTCTGGCTCTTAATTCGTACTTTCTTCAATTTCGCTCGAAAAGCATTCGAATTTATTCCTACAGAGCGAATTCTGCAATTTGAGTCGTCGAGTGAATAGTAGTGAACCTGACATATCCCATTGTCATTAGGGGAATTCACTTATTCATTCGTTCGTACGGAGAGTCGGAATTTATTCTTGCGATTTGGAGTATTTTCGCTTCGAGTGAAAATGCTTTTCACTCGAGTGAGATTCCACAAAAGAAGATAATCAATTCAAAACTTATATTCTTATATATCCGAAACTTGTTCGCCAAGTGTGAAGGTAGAATCCACCCACTGCTTACCGTATTCGCTCCGATTGATTAATAAATTACTCGTCAACTATTGCAAAATGACTTTTGTGTTCATCACGTTCTACCTGCACACCATGGGAACGGGGTTCGGGAAACCCTGTGTATTTTTGCTTGTACATGAGAAAATACGAGAATCGATACTAATTCTTGGTTCGCTCGAAGAAATTTACGGATTCAGTCGATCAGAGTGACTTTGTTCACTTGCGCCGCAATGTGTCACTTTCCTAAACCGAAAACGTTGGCACGACGCGAGAATTCTCTCTGTAGGAGTGCAATAAGTCGCGCGCTCAACTTTTCGTGGGATTTCACCCGAAGAAATTGATTTGAATTAATTTAAGGAGTACACGAAATGCTTGCACCGAAAGTTGTTCAATTTTGGCAACTTTTTTTTCAGCGAATGTCCCGCCGCGAACGTAATTATCGCGCGGAATTGTTTAAAGTCGTCTTCAAACTCGTCTCTAGCTCATTATCCCGCCGAGAACACGCGTATTCCGCGAATGAGCAGAGCCGCGTGAATATTCCGTATAACGGACGGGCGCGATTTGCATAATTAATAAGAATATCTCAGGCGCACTGGCGAGAGATACGTTAGTACCGATTGCACGCTGAACGGTCAGATTAATCGAGCGTCGACGGATGTCGTTGAAATATTCTCTACTCATTCACGTGATGCGATCTACCTCTCGGTGAGAACGAATTCTTTTCTTCCTCTCTCTCGCTCTTTGCGACGTTGACTGACGCCGCGGCACGATAAATATTAATTAGGTTTTACTCGAGGCCCTCCACGGATTAGATACGTTTTCTTTTTTCACACGCGTGGAATGACAGGGTAGATTAGATAATAACCGAGAGTCGTTCGAATAACAGTAACGCGTCTCGCCGGAGAAGCTCCTCCGATAAACATCGGTGAGCTCTGTCCCGATTAAAATGCGCGCCGAAGCTAGTCGTGGAAGATACCGAAAATCAATTGAGAGAACTAGCGACGAGTACTAAAATTACAGCGATTTCGTTTGAAGAGATCGTTAATGAGCGACTAATGACGTCATGTCTAGACTAATAGAAATTGAACCTTGTGAATGTCCAACCATGAGGTAATAAATTTGCGTCAATACTAGCTAATAATGTTCCTAGCGGCCAAATAATGACTAGGGATAAATTAGTTGGCTGATGGTTAAACAGAAGAATCACGAGATGAAAAACCATAACTAGTTGCCATACAATAATGCTTCTTTGAGATTGGAATAATCTAATTCCTCAATTTGCCCACCTTTCGATTTGCTATTTAAATACGGTATATAGAGTGGACAGCAAAATCTATCATACTTGATAAGTAGACAACGGTTAGATTGTAAAACCGATTCTACATTTTAATAAGTTAGTCAGCAATGAACTTTTTACTGCTAGGAGAAAAGCGATTACTCAGTTTTATCTCCCTTTTTTCCTTACTAATTATTTGACAAGGTATAGTTTTTCTCTTGATAATAATCTCTTAAAATATACTCAACACAAAGCTTTAGAAAAGCTCATCTTATTACTCGAGAGAATAATTTGTCCTCTTTTCAGAAATATTACAAACTTTATCGAAGAAAATTTGATTAATTTAAATAAGCACAAGTTTATTTTAATATTTGTTATTAAGTAGCTACTAAACTTACTAAAGGCTAGCCTGTGCTAGTGATAGTCATCAATTTTTGACCGACTAGATACATTTCCACTCGGGATGTTTAACGTCATTAATCGCTCGTAGGGCGAAAACGCTATAATTGTAACGCGACCGACTCGATTTTGCGATCATTCGTCCGAGCATGCAACTCGCGTTGCTGTTCCAGCGATGAGACGACGCGGCATCACTATTATCTGCAACTGCGCGACAACGTCGTCAGGCATGGTGGCGGGGTGGAGAGCCTTCATCCTCACCATCCCCTTCACGAACCATCTATCGTTACGCCTCTGCTCACGCTCGCTGGGCTCGCCCTTCAAGCCGATCTTGGCGACTATTCCGAGGAACGGCACAGACCACACACAGGATCCGTCGGCTACTGTAAACCCTCGGATTACCTTCCTCCCCACGTAAGTTGGATCTCGCGAGATTTCGTCGTCTTTGACGGCGCGCCTCATACGGCTAATTAAATCTAATTTATACACTGTAACGGAAAATGAAACATAAAGAAAAAAAATTGAAGCAACGTAAAATTTGGGGTACGGAAGATAGTAGCAGCGATTGATTAGATCCTCCTCTTTCGTTTCGACGTCGCGTTTTTACATACAGAATGTCGTCAAAATGATCATAAAATACTTTAATAGCGTATTCTGGAACTTAATGAAACTATACTAATTAAAGGCTGGTATACGGAAATGTGAGAACCGCTTGCGGATTTTTATGTGCACGGCTTCCGCAGCGAAATAGTTAAAATGATTTATCGCGTATTCATATATTATCATGCGGAATGCCGGGGTCACTGGTGACTGTGATATAATACCGCGTTTCATTAAGTCATGTATAAAGTATAATCAATCGTATTTGAAAAATCGATTGTACGGACAGCCAATGAAACGAGACAGAATATATATACCTGCGTCGTGAATTATATTTATTCACCGTATCCTCTCGTTAATCCCGTCAGTTGAGCTTTTGTGTGCGTGTGTACACGGAAAAATCTTAATTCGTGTGACGAAACGGTTACCGGACGAAAATCCGGCGACGAGAAACGATATTTCTGTTACCGAGAATATTTTATTCAGCTGTATTAAATCTCGGTTAAAAGACAACTCGAGCAATTGACTGAATAGAAACTTCTTGTACAGGAATCTTATAACTCTGAGTTTTCGTCTGGTCCGCCGGGCGACAGAAATTCAATTACCGAATTTTGTCCACATAAAATCAACGCTGGCATCAACGCGGCAATCAACACTTTATACGAAACATTTACGCTCAACCGTCTAATTCGTTTCTTTCGCGAATGCAACGAAGCGTATACGGAAACAAATTTTCCCGCTACTGAAGAGGGATAAAAACTTGATGACAAAAAGATGATATTTATGATTCCATGTACACGAAAGAAAAATATTAAATCAAGAATAGATATTCTCATATACAGGATGTTTGAAAAAAAAAACCGATCCAATATGATAGTATATGTTGTACAAGTATCGAATGTTTTTTTTTTTTGCGAATATCATTTGAACACAAGATTACAGATTTTCCAAGAAGATTATGATATTCTTGCTTATATATATGCGAGAATATTTATTCTTGATTTAAATTTTTTCCCGTGTACCTGACTCGCTCTGATCGCGCTTAATGATTTGAAATTTGAAACGAATGCCCTCAGATGTGCCACGAGTCGAATGTGCTCGCCGTGCTCGCGGCGCAGCACAGGGACAACAGTGGGCTCTCCAGGGAGGAGGCAGAGTTGCAGTACATTCGGGAGGCGGTGTTGCTGGAGGCGCCGCTCAACGCTCACCTGTATCGGTTGCGCCGAAGCAAGAACGAGGCGGGACCCGGACGTATACTCCTGGCGATATGCGCTCGCGGGGTGCGAGTCTACGCCGAGGAGGAGACACCGCGCATTTTCGCTTGGAACAATATCGGCAAACTCTGCTTCGACGTGAGTCAACGACCGCATCTTTTTTCTTTTTCTCGTTTTTTTTTGCTCTTTGGTAGACACGCGAGTTTTAGGACGGCATTCATATTTTATGAATCATCGTGAGTTCATCTTCAGACGCCACGTGATCAATGTAACATCTGAAGATGAACCCGAGACGACACAAAATATAAGATTCAACTACGAATGTCCTCAGTCATCCGCAGTAGAAATTGTCTTTGGTTCTACTAGCCATGAAGTGGTTGATTTGCTTTATATATTTTAGAATAGACGTCTATATTGAATGGTTAGACAACGGCTTGATCGCAAAATCGAATTTACATTCTAGCGAATAATCAGTCAGTAACGAACTATTCGGGAAACACCAACAAACGGTAATATCGCAATCAACATTATAATTTCTTACTTAATAATGAAAGTACAATAATAATGTATGACAGATGTAGAGTGAGAAATGATAATATCGTTGCGATTTTACTTCGGTCATTAGTGGATAATAACGAGCCACAAAGTTTAATATAGCCTGAGAAAGCCATTTAGTGGACTCGAACATAATTCTCCTTCGAATATGAGCGAACAAACGTTTGGAAATTTTCAACAGAGTAGCTTTTTGCCCCGTTCCTCCTCGGGATTGTTTATACATTTCTTTCGTACAGCGCAAAAAGTTCGAGATCCGTGCAGTCGATCAGCCGGACAAGCTCACCCTCTACAGCGGCTGCGACGACAAGAGCAAACTTCTCTTGGGACTCTGCCGTGACACCCATCAGTTCTCCATGGCTATAGCGCCTAGAGTGAACGAAGCCAAGAGGCGGGAGGAGGAAGGTGAGGAGAAAATTAATGTTACCAAGATTACGAGAGATATAGCACGATCGGTCAGTAAATGATGATCGAACGAACACGGTTCGCAGAACGGAAAGTCCTCAGGGACTGTTACATGTACCCCGCTCGGTGCAAGCTGAACTTGACGACGCGCGGTGCGCGCGGTGACCAACGGATTTCCGTCATCTCGAGCACGTCCTCGAACACGACGTCCGGTATAGTGAGCGATCGAGTGCACAGCGAGGACGAGCCCGACACCGCCCCGGTATCGACCGAGTGTTTGCCGCGTCTCACCGAGTCGACGCCTTATTCGACCGGCCAAGGTAGAGTTCTGAACGGCAATGACACGGACAATCATTCTATGCCATCTTCTCCTGTTTCCATCGTCGACGGTAAGTTCGATTGCCTTCTTTTTTCTTTTTTTCCGTTAAGCTTAAAGGCCATAGCGCGGACTGGTGCAATGGTTGAGTAATTAGTCTGAATTTACGGATATCTAACAGTAAATATCAATAATCACTCGCTTTGTCAATAGCAGCAGAGAAGGAGATGATTTGAAAGCTACAAAGAGACAGACCGATATGATTGCAGGACAATTTTCAGAGGTGGATGGTGCGGACAACACTCCCACGTCGGTCACCTTGCGACTCGCGTCGAGCACCGCAATGGCCGCCGAGGGCTCGCAGTGCAGCAGCAGCTGCAGCACGGTCGTCGTCGTGAACACACCTGCGGGCGGGCCGATTCGCCGCGCCTCGGCGACCTCCAGCTTGGAGCTGGGCTATTCGCACACGGCGCAAAACTCCGCGATCTCCACGGAAACCGCCAGCTTCCCGGGCGCCATTTATGACAGGTGCAAGAAGACCGGCAAGTATGCAGGTGAGAAGAAGAAAAATTTGAAACAAGAATGACCCAACTCGGCATCACAGGACGCTTATACGTTCGCTCTACTCTGTACACTGAAAAAAATGCGGCTGTTCAATATCTACTTGATCCTTGGCGTGTATATACTAGAAGTAGAAATATACTACAATTAACTGTCCTTTCTATAAGTAGACATGTGTTAGTACAACAATTTGCGACAAGTATTAAAATATTGAGAATACCAGAATTTACTTTTAGAAGGTATTTACTCTGGCAAAATCTAAATTTAAAATCACTAACAGGTTTCTGCACGGTAAAGAGATACGATTCTAGTAAATCAGTTAGTATTATACACTTACTACGAGCAATGAAAATATATTGAAATTGATAAAAATATTACTCGATTCAAGAAGCTGAAGAACAGGTAGCACTTTGATTCTTCTTACTTTCTTCAAGCCAAAAGTTTAACGACAAATCTGCCAGGTACCGACATCGCGAGCGAGACCAGCGGCGTGTATACGCTGAGAAGCAGCGAGATGCAGGACGAGAGAATCGGCGACGACCTGTACTCCCCCACGGGCGACACCAACAACTCCTCGGCGGCGAGCGACGTGTGCGCCCTGAGCACGGTTCAGTCCACCACCGACGAGGCGTCCGTCACGTCCGGCTTCTACACCATCCACAGCGGGCTGCGGTCAGAGAGCAGCGACGTGTACACCGAGGACGTCGAGCCGGAGGATCAGGAGCCGATATACAGCGTGTGCAAAGGTGACGACGATTCCTTGAACCAACAGCTCGAGGACTCGCGGTCGCGCAGCAACAGCATACTCAGCGCGGACAGCTTCCGCGGCGACGGCAGCGATCCGTCCAGCGCGCGGCCGCTGTTGTCGGCCGACGAGCTCTCGGATCTCATAGTGGGTAGATATCCACCGCGCAAAACCATCAGCAACTCGATGGACTCGGACTGTGACTACGTGACCATGCCGCCGCCGCCGCCGCCCAGAACGGACAGCGATCGGTTGCCGCCGCCGTATCCGGTGAACATCGAGCCGTACGCGACGATCAACTCTCCCAAGAGACCGGGCGGTGCGGATCGGGAACCGCCACCGCCCCCGCCGCCGTATAACGCGGCACGCAACGACTTCGTGGTGCCGTTACCGCCCAGACGAGCCGATCCGCCGCCTCCACCACCGCCGTACACCTCGCCGCGAGAGAGGATCCAGATGCCGCCGCCCACGCCGCCGCGGAACGACGCGGTGACGCCGCGGGAGCCGCCGCCACCTCCGCCGCCTTATCCCGACGTCGTGACGAGGATCGCCAAGATCATGGACGTCGCTGCGCCGAAACCACCGCCCAGGATACAACCTCCCACTTACCCCGGCGATAAGATGAAGCCCACGCCGGTACACGCTCCGGTGGCCGCTCTCGTGGTAGGGCCGAACAATTATCTGGACGTGCATGCCTCCCGTGGCGGCGGCCCGGTGCTTCTGCCGTATTTGACCTCGGCGCCGCCGCCACCGCCGCCGCCACCGCCGCCGCCGCCGCCGCCTCCACCCCCGATGGTGCATTCGAGGCAACCGCCGCCGCCGCCGCCGTCGTCTCAGCAACAACAATCGCAACCGGCGACTCCGGTGTCGACGCTGTCGTCCGCTTCCAGCCTGGCGACCGTGTACACCAGCCAGGTCGCCAGATCGCAGATAGAACAGTACAAACAACAACTGTACTCGGACGTCGATTACGTCATGTTCCCGTTAAAGGATCCGGCCGTGTCGAAGCAGGAGTACATCGACGCCAAGCAGGGCTCCCTCCTGGCGGCGATGGCGGCCTACCCCCCGCCGCCGCCGTATCCGTCCTTCAGCAAGTCCTCGGTGATGTATCGCAGCACGCCTTACTTACCCGGCGCATCTTTCTCCTCGCCCAAGTACGCGTCCAACCAGAATCTGAGCAGCAGCGACGCCAGCTCTGCCGGCAATTACCTGCTGCACAGCAATCTGAGCAGTCACTACGCCGCCAGCACGAGCTCGCTGTACAGCGGCTCGTCCATCGGCAGCTATAGTCTCAGACGGGAGCCACCCGCGCCGGCTCATCCGCACACCTTGCACGCGTTCTCGCGCACCAGGAGCGATGAGAACATCCTCAAGTGTTTGGACACCAAGATGCATCCCCTGCCTAAACCCCATCGTAGACTACCGCCGCCGCCGCCGCCGCCGCCTTACGAGATACAGGTAACGGGACGATATCGAGAGGAAAATGTTTCATAGAGTAACTTGGTTTGGGATTTTCACTCACGTAATACTTTTCAACACCCTATTTGTTTCTACTATCTAACGGATGATTAACTCAATCATATTGGCTGATCGATTGGTCGATTCCGTTGAATTAATCATGAAACGGGCATCAGATGTCGTATCTGGAATAGTGATGCATATTGTTGTTTTTTGTGCTTAAAATCATACAAATGGTATAGTTGATAACAATTTCTCTCTTAGTGTGGAAACGTATGAAGGACTATTAGCCAGGCTTTGGAAAATTATTTCTTGACTCGTTTTGACAGGATAACTGTCACTGCTGTTACCAAACTCGTTTACACAGGAAGCAAAATTAACTTCGCTTCCTCCACCAAGTTGAAGGCTTTTCCTTCCATTCTATATTGAAACGTTACTCCCTAATCTTAACTTACCGTATCGATTTTCGTAATTCGATACTTTTAACGCGGCGCAATATTCTGCCCTAGAATCTCGAGAAGAATCAACCTTTACCGTCGGCTTCCTCGGTGGGAGTGCCGATGAGCAAGCAAATTAACAGTAACGGTGCGGAAGAAAGCGACGAAGACATGACGGACGACGACGACGACGACGACGACGACGACGACGGTATGCTCGATATCCGAACGCTTCGCGAGAAGAGCCGGAACCTGGACCTACCATTAATTTCCGCGCTGTGCAACGACCGATACCTGTTGAAGCAGACCAAGGCTTTCGTCTTGCCGAAGCACCCCATCGAGTCATCCACCTCTGCCGTGAAGAACGGCGCGCGAAACGGCAACACGACGCCCTTCACCAGGAATAAGTATCCGGTAAGCGGACTGTCAACGACGCAGATCCAGAAACCACCCCGGAAATCCTCGGCGAGCACCCACAAGCACCCGTCCGAGGTGAAGGGCAACGCCTACAAGGTCACCGCCTCCTCCACGGCGGTATCGACGGCTAAGAAGGACTTCGCGAAAGCGTCTCATTCCTAACACTCGCTCTCTCGTTTTCTCTCATTCTCTCGTTTATCCCGAAATTTCTAGCTCCGAGTACATTCCATAATCCCGACGTTATCGTTGCGCGCGCGTCACCGTTTCGTCGTTCGACGTAACTAGAGACGATGTTACAGCGAGGAAACGATGTGTCCCGACAGCAACTTACTCAAATATCGTTTCCGCAGACCGTGCTTCTTCAACTCAGGGTGCCATCTTACTCGTTCTCTTCCCCCCGGATACTTCAACCGTGCAGCAGACTCCATTAATAATATTCCATTCCCTAGACATAGTGATATTGTAGTTTTCGAATTGGGCGTGTTATTTTTGAATATTTATGTATCATGACTGTTGCTTTGAAGAATCATTGTCGGATCATCAAATTATCAACAGTCATGATGCACAAATAATAATTGGAAATTCTCGGTGTTACTAGGACGGCATTAATGGGGTCTGCTATATAACTAGAATCGTTCGTTCCAAGCGACGGAAATATCCGCGTGAATCGTTCGTCGACGGTGACGATGGAAACGATCTTCCGTGCTTCATATTCTCGTAATATTCATCCAGTTTTTTTTTCCCCTCAAATCGTCATTTTTCATATAAAATATTTAAGTACTTGAGCTTTGATATTTGCGTACTCAAAGTGTCTACTGCCTATTGCTCAATTGTACGGCTGGATGCGATGGAAATTCGATTTGCAAGCCCCCATCAAGGCGGCGCTAGTCCCGCTCGTTGTTAGGATAAACTATACCAGTTTATTGGCCATTGTAATGATCGTTACATCGCGCGATTACCGAATAATAATTCGCAAATTTACGAGTTTTTAAAGTTTATGACGAAATCACGCGCTCTCACGTATTTCCGGGGGAAAACATTTCTCATATATAATTATATATATGTTCACATATAAAAACATATATGTAGACATATTCTACATATATATATATATATATATATATATATATATATATATATATATATATATATATATATATAGACATATT